TATTTTCATAATTAAGATAAATATCTTTATTAAAATTTTCTTAAGTGATACATATTAATATAAATTAAACAATGTTTTCTTCGTCATCACTAAAAGCACTATTAACCGAGAGCGTTTTCTTTTTGGCAAGTTATCCTTATCCTCTGAGTATTTTTCTGCATTATCTTCAGATCCATGCTTTACCTTTTGCAAAAGGTATGTAATTTTAGATTGCTTGCTTTTAGTTAAAAGATCTTTATAAATTTCCTTATATGGTGCAAAGCACTTACGAAGAATAAAGCAAGTATGGAATAAGGAAAAAACATCTGGCAGCATCAGAAGCAGAAGCGTCGAGATCTGGCAACATTGAAACAAGTTTCGAGAAGGACCATGTGTATCGACAGAAGGAAAAGAACATTTACATACTTAAGTACTAATAGTTCACGAAAATTATTATTTTCGTGAACTATTATTTCTTAAGTATGTAAAAATTTATTACATTTCATGTTGTATGAGGGTTTTACCCAATTCTCGAACCGTGTCAGAGTGAATCCGTGCTATAACAGTACGGATGGTACCAATTCTTGAACCGTGTTAGAGCGAATCCGTGCTATAGAAGTGCCGTGTTATACGGGGGTTATCTGTAATTAAAAATAATCTATTTTGTAGTGTGAGGCCGGGACCTCACCCCCTCCCCAATGGGAAACTGGTTATCGAGCTAAAGCTAATAAATCGATGATTTATTTCTTAAACAGGAACGAGTGTAAGACGATTTAATTGTTGCATTCCCGGACCAAATTCACACGTCCTCGATCTACATCAGGGAAAGTGGGAGAGAGCAACCGGGGAAAGTTCGACTGTCATCTTACAGCGAGTTCAAAGCACATAAAACCAAAATTTATGGGACCATCACTAAATAATCCTGAAAACGCATTTCAAAAATTAAGCAGTATTTTAATACAGTTTAATCCAATAGCTACTCAACACAATATTATTTCAAAATTGCAACATTTTAAATCGTCATGGAATATTTTAAAGGAAAATGTCAATCAAACTTTTATAAAATTAAACTAAAATGAACATTCTACTGATGATCAAGTAGAAACTAATAAAGATGCGATTTTATCCTCTTACTGCATTGCTTGCAAAAATTGCTGTACGTATTTGTTGTTATAATATATTATTCAGATATAACATGTTAAGTGGCGCTTATTCTATACTTGGTCAAGCATACAAATATCTGCTATCTATGTCTGTAACACAAGTGTCCGGTGAACAAAGTTTTTCTATGTTAAAATTAATTAAAAGCAGGCTAAGATACTTATAAGTATCTCGCAAGAAAATCTAGAAGCCTTCATGTTAATGTCAGTAGGGAAGGATTTTTTAAACGAAATACATTCTGATGATGTCATTAATACTATTGATCAACAAAGCAAACTTCTAAATAAAAAATTAATATCGTAGAATAATGACTTGCGCTTATTGTAGTTTTTGTCAATGTTGTATTTTGAATATATTTAAATATAAATAGAAAAAATACATTTTTTTTATTTGTGGGCTGGTAATAAATTTTCCACACAAAAATTTTATGGCCAGTCCACCCCTGCCATCCGGATGTACGAAACTACAAGTAATATCACAAAATACCTTCGAGTCCAAACAGTCGTTCAGACTCGTTAATGATATTGTAGCCCAGTGGTTCTCAGCCTTTTTTTGTTGATGTACCCCATTAGCCCTTTAGTTGTTTCTCAAGTACCCCTTATATTTTTGTATGTAAATTTTATAATTACTGCATTAGATGTATACAGCCCTTATAACTAAGTGCCATAAAAAAAACTAACTAGCTAACTATAACTAAAAGTGAATTACTTATTTTATGTAAATAATAATAGATTTAATCAGGNATACTATTTTAATTTTAAAAGAAAATTTGAGATAAATTTTAAAATAATTAACCTATATGTAATTAAGAATAACATAATAAATTTTTAATCACTATTTTTCAGTCTTGAATAGAAATAAATTTCATCTTCGTTTCAAGATCTACGAATAATTTCATATTGATCAACTAAAAATTCTACATCTGTTACGTGTATGATGTCTTTCTATGTATTTATGACATTCCTCCTTCCTATTGACTCGCCCATTTCATATAGACTGAGAATTATATTTCAAGAGTAGAATACCGATTTCAAATTAAAATTTTATTTCTACTGCTCCAGGTAAATAAAACAAATTTATTCATTTTTTACAACCTTTACGTTTAAATAAAGTAAAATGTTTTCTAGAATACTGTTTACTTAAAAATATCTTATAAAATATATATTTATTTAAATTATTCTGATTATTTTTTAAAATATAACTTTGAAGTGTTCATTACAATTTAGTTTTATTTACTTTACATACAAGTTATTTTTAAAATTTTTATTAATTAATTTCAAATGCTATCCATTGAGCGAGAATGTCGGGTATCATCGCTCAATGGTTAGGCTTTGACACTTCTAATTTCACTTAAATTAAAGATTTACATACGACAATAGTCACATTTATAATTATTTAATGTTTCTATATTTCTGCAGTCTTTGTGTAATACTTTTTGTATTTTTGTGTGGGTTGGATCTTCTTAGATTTTTGCTTTCTAACGCCTCTAGTCTGTGATTTTCTAGAGTAGCTGTTAGAATTTGTGAATGTTTTATTATCTACTCAATTTTCACCATTTAGTATTGTTTGAAATATAATAAAAAATGAATAAAATATCACCTATCGTCTAAACGCACTAGTTGTTGAACTCAGTTTACGTGAACATGTTTCCCCTTCATCGTCATATTGGATTCTGATGCATTTTTGTTGGTCTAACAAAGTATTATAAATTAAACAAAAAGCAGGAATGGGAAGCTAAATATATGTAGTTTATACATATAATGATTAAATATTACTATTTAAAATAAATATGTACTTATCGTCAGTTTAAATTTGCAAAATTTTCTAAGAGTTCACCTCAAAAAACAATACACGAATGAAAGATAGAAACTACTTCTGATGACGACCACTACGTGACTATTGACTTATGATGACATTTGCTATCTAACAACAACCAATCACACACAATTCCATTCTGTTTCGAGATACCTAAGTAAGCGGGATTGCACTCTAATTGTCTAACTTTTCCTGATACAAATTATGATAACAAATAAATCTTATTATTTAAGTAAAAATCAGAATAACGCCCTATGTTTAATAGATGCAGTTGTTTGCCAGCATTCCTCTTATCTTAATATAACTATAATAATATCATATATTTGTTATTTTGGCATGTCTGTTTGTTAAATTAAACAACAAAGAGAACTTTATTTATTCTTTATTTGAAAACTTTCTAATACATTTCTGTAAGAAAAATATTTATTTTCTATCAATGTTCTATCCAATACATGTAATAATGGGTAGTAGAATTAATAAGGTTAAGAGAATGGAACTAATTGCATTTTCTAGATCATCATTGAGAATTCATTTGTTCATGCTTAATATAATGGCGTTTATACAATTATATATACACGCACGTACGATTTGTGAGAATGTGGAAGATAAAGAGAGGGGGGAAAAGAGAATGATGGATAAATTGATGAGATAAAGCAATACAACACATGGGCGATCTGCCAAGGGGGGAGTTGCCTCCCGGGAGGACTTTTAGGAAAACAGATCTGTACTGAGGTGAAGAAGAACTCGGAAAACTCGGACTGTCTGGCCCGCTCGTTGATGAGGCGCGAACATACGACCAACTACCAATGGTTCGGTGGTTTTATCCACTCGGCCCTTAGTGGACGTGGTAGAGAAGACAGAGAAATAAGAGAAATTACAATATTACATAAGTTTATACTGTATGTAGGATATATACTATAAAAATTCTTTTCTTGTTGATAAATATTTAAACGGTGATTCTATTTTATATATAAATCTAATCTCACTCACTTCTTGTGTATTACTCATAAATTCTCAGTAAACAGATGTGTTCTGTAAATTAGGTATTTGGGTAACTTCCTAACTTCAGAACGTATCTGTTTACTGTGAAATTATGTTTTATACTTCTTGAAATATTTCAGATGTTTCTTCACTGTTAGAGTATCTTTCGCCCAAGTGCGAGTCTTATTTTTTTATTCCCTATATGAATTAGTTAATTACTTTGATCACCATCAAAACCTCCTTAAAAGTTTGGATGATATGAATGTCTTCTAATGTTATATATTAGTCCCTGCAAGTTTATTCTTTTCTGGATGAGAAACTACTAGAGCCACTTCATAAGCAGTCAATTGTGCAATATTATAAATTCAAAAAAGCGTTAATTCTGTTTCTTATTCTTTCCATTCTGTGAGTACTAAGAGGGCCTTTTAATCAAGCCCATCATGGGTTCGGCCAAACTCTTAATAAGACGGCCGGGTTATGAGGAATGGGGTCCAATATATTTGAGATGGAATAACCAAGAAAAATTCTTAAGGTTTTTCTACCTGACTGAATTCGTTTCCGGATCCCTAGGCGGTAGGCTGACACCTTAACCTCTTGGCCATCCGGCCGTCAGACCTGTGGGCCTTAAGAAAGCATTTTTTCCAAGCATATAACAAATTCGACCAAGAACATAACGTAAGAATGTGTATATTCATGTCGGTTCATTGAAATCAGACAAGTATTTCTATATGAAACTAAAATAACTATTTGACATTGAAAATCTCTAATAAGTTTTTCCAATGGTTAAAAAAATCAAAATATCTCAATTTTTATGCATACATTAAAACATTAAAATCGAAAGGAGATGTGAAATTAGTTTACAGCTATAGGCATGCTTATAGTAATATGAATCTATTGAGTATGTCCTAAGGTAAGAATATATTTACTAAGACCTTTTACTGAACTATTTCGCATCATATAACATTTTCAACAATTACATAAGTTGCATTGCTACTTATGTAACCGAGATTAAGCCATTAGATGATTATTCATATATTGAAATAAAACGAAATCATCATTCATATACACCGATCAAACTTTTCTGTCCAATTTACACACTAGATATTTGTTGCTTATACATTTTATAGTTCTAAAGACATTCTATTCTATTAATAATATCCATCCGGATGAAGAAAATACATTTTTTTTCTCGTTCGTTAATTCCAACTGCCAGTATCTATTGAACGTATTCATGTATAATAAATGTTCTACACTATCTATCAAATATAATTCTTGTATCAAAAAGAAATCGATCATAGTAGTATCATTATTCATTTTCCAGTAATCAATCAATCTATAATCAGTTTGGTTCAGGTTATTACTCTTCCTCTTATCATATATATATATAAGTTTTTTAGTCTTTTTAGCATACGAACAACAAAGACACGTTTCGATCAGCGTACTAATGGAAAAGTCGATTGATTCTCTCAACATAATAATTGCTGTCATTTCACATCACCATTCTACAATGACAAAACTCAAGATCGGGTATATAACACATAATGCGCTTAAATTTTGTGCCGGCAAATCAAATTCACTTTATGTCAATGAGTCGATTTTTAATCGATACTAAGCGATAGAGAAAATCAGTTACAGGTGATAATATTTGAAGTTATATTTATTAGTCTATTCAATTTCTCCTGCTGTAATCTTGTTGTCTGTGCTAATTAATTTCGACTTCAATGTTTTCCAATATTAACTCCAATATCCAATTCTTCTCTTCTTCTTTTTCTTTTTCTTCTTCTTCAGTGTTTATATGGAGATTCCAATTCTTCTCAAATAAATATTATATTTTTATTCTCATAATTTACTATATTTTCAACTTCCTTTCTTTTCAATTTTATATTTTTATTTTGGATCGTGCAGTTTTAAAAATATGTTAAAAATATTTACTATCAAGTTGTCTTGAAGACACGATAATTTTAATAGATGTGCAATATTGACTTTTTAAAACAGAGTTAATTGTTTCCTACTTTTATTAGTTTGATAAATGGTATTCATTATGAGACGTACTCTGTAGTGCTATTTAGAAAATGAGAATAGATATTGTATTTATCGAAATTTTTATAGTATTTTCCAGAATAAGAATTGAGCGGTTGTGCGGATAATGAATGCAAGATATATCCCATTAAAAAACTGGTGGAAGCAGTTTGAAAAGTAAACCTCGGCGAAAACATCTAAATAATTTTTGAAAGTTATTGCGTAAGAATACTAGAACTCTTCTAATTGCCTTGGGAGGTCTACTCTCAATCACCTTATGAATTACAAAGCCCCTAAGAACACCCAACTCAAAACCCCACAAAAACTTCTCAGGAAACATATGATTCCTCCCAATCATTACTAGATTTAACATTAAAACTCAACATATGAAAAAAGCGCACATTACACAGACTGTAAGTACAGATTTTAGATGAAGCAGCGTCATCATGATAATAAATCAGGAAAACAAATATCGTCACAGAAAAAGGCTTCGAGCTTTACTTCCTGCCTTAAAGTTCCTTCAGTTCCTTCCTCAAAGTGCTTTAATGTTCAGCCAAATTATTATAGGTGCAACAACTTTAAGGTCCTTTATTTAAATGGTTTCGCTTAGCATTACTTTTTAACTTCGTTCCATCAGTTTTTTCTTGTAGAATTTCAGGTATTTTTCAGCCATCAATAACTTTATAATAAAATCGTTTTCATGATAATTCTGTATTCATCTGTCACTCACGTAATAACTTGCAATTAAGTCATCCCACGTAATAACTGATTGACCAATAATATGATAACATTTAAAAAATGGATTGTTATTTTGTAAATATTCAATATTTTAAAACAAATCTTCAAACGGGCAAATAAAAGGAATTCAGCTCTTGAAAGAACCATTAAACATATGAAGACTTCTAGATTGTTTGAAAGCTTGATGCCTCTTTTCTCTCCCGTTGTAAATATACACATTAGGGACACTGTTTTTAAATTTAATCCAAATCGGTTGATTGGTCGTGGAGATATTATGAGTCAAAGTTAGCACTTTAACATTAAACATGTGACAGAGCTTTATTATAGAGCGATGCTGGACTCTCCATCATTAAGTAGCGAAGCGCTAAAGTAGAACAGATTAGACTTCGAAAATTCGAGTGCCTGGAGGACACTTGTTTGTAGACCCAGTGTTGAAAAGGTCGAATGCGACTCCGGTCTTTGTTGTGAAGAATTGTTGACCACGCCACGAGGAGGTCCTGGTATCTCGCGCGGAGGATGTTATGAGAGGTCATAAGGCGTATTGGTCTGTCAAAGAGAGCTGGTAGAATTGCCGCATCATGCTATGTTTTCCGCCGCTTTGTTGATTGAGAGACCTGAGTGCCCTGGCGTCCAAAGTAAAATGATTGATGGATAAATGGTGATCCAAGTGCCAATATCGATAAGGAAAGGAAGGAGAAACTCTAAGCAGAGTTGAGAGAACTGACCTGCTGTCAGAAATGATTACCGTTGGGCGGTTCGTCGTTTCAATCACCAGAGGAAATTAAGAAAAAAAAACAATTTTCACTTACAGAGAGGATCTTTATTTGAGGCTACCTTCTGCAAATACTGTATTGTAAAATGGTTAAACGTCTTCTGGCGATTAACCATTTTAATGCCATTAATTCACAATAGTTAATTAAAATTAAATTATAAAATTTGTAAAAACAGAGCTTCGTCACATTTTAATTTCTTAAAAAAATTTCGACGAACAATAAAAATGCTTACATTTTAAGACGTTTGTCTGATGATGTCTGATAGCAAACTCTGAATTTTATTAGAAATATCTGTTAAGAGAGCAATTGTGTCTACTTTTGCTTAAATATTCATACACTTAACAACAGCTTATACAGTGTAACTCCATTAGGAGTACTCGATACAGAGACGAGCTTTATTTTAATCCCACTTTCCGAATTACGAAGCAAAATACTCGATCGAAGACCTGAATTTACAAATAAAAAATAATTTAAACACGAATGGAATGTGATTGAAATTCATTTACATGGTTCTTATGTTCCAATCTCTATTTTCTTTCATTCATACAATATACAGTATTCGTTCATTAAGGATAATGCCATTCGTTTTAATGCATCTTTTCAGTTTAGTGAACTTTATCTCTACATTACAAACTTTTCACTGGTGATTCAATTTTATTAATTAAAATCAATTGTACTTTACTCTATTTTATTTGTTTTCTGCTTACTTGTAGTTTAATATTACTTTTGTTTTCTTACTATTAAATAAACAATATCTGATAACTTGCACATTTGCTTATGTAGTATTCGTTTTTCTCATTTTGTGTTAGTTCCTTTTATATCGGTGAATAGCCTAACAATAGTTTCATTTATTGGACTTCAATTTCCAAATTCAGACCTATACATTTCCACTGTCGTCCGTCTGTCCGTCATTCCATTCAATAACAGTGAGATAACATGAAAATCGAGACCATATACGGAACACTTATTTTTAAAATCAATCAGGTATAAAGTCTAAGATTTCAATGTGATATTTAACAGAAAAAAAAACCTATTTACTTCTTAAATTTAAAATATTTAATATTTTAATAAATGATGAACTATAATTTCATTTCAGATTTTTTGAACGAGAACAAATATGATTAAACCAACAGATGAAAATATAATGTCTGTCAGAACCATCAATGGTCAAGACCATCCAACATCACCAGAAATGATCCACGGTGACAAAACCAACCCAAGAATAACAGTAATATTATCCCCTTTCCACAAATGTATGCTTGTGATGGGTTCAGTACCACCAACTAGCAAGGACAATCCTAAATTAAAAATTTATAATAACTTAGTTTTAGAATCGGTTACGTTGCAAGCAGTTATGGCTGTAATTAATACCGGATCAGATATTTTTCATTTTGATCAAACGGAAAGTATCTTCCGAAGTTTACAAAACGTTGTAATGGTGCTCACTTCACATTGTTCGTTACGTTTAATGCAAACATCGTATAATTCGATTATGGAAATGCTCCAGGAGCATTGTTATTTAATTGCACCCGATGATAAAATTTTGAAATTTCTTAAAAAATGCTCGAGGTTATTTCCATTTTTTGGTTGTTTGCATGCATTTGTTTTTATTACTGATGAAGGTTACGGAATTTTAAATGATCCAATTGAAATAACAGCCGAGAGACTTCCTTATGGTTTTCGTGGTTTAGGTATTGAATACCCAGAGTTTGCCCTCTTAGTTGTGACTTTTCAACGTTTTGTTTACAGCATATTTGTCCAATCTGCAATTACTCATTATATGTTTTGTTATGCGTTGATATGTTTCTGTTTATCTCAGATATTTAAGGCATTTACTGAATACACGACACAAAAATTAAAAACAATTAAAAATGACAATTCAGAATCTATCAGAGGAATATGTAATTTGTATTTACAACTCTGTGCCAAAGTGAAAACGATCAACAATATCTTTGATAATGTTGTTTTCTTTTGGATATGCAATGCTGTTTGCAATGTTTGTCTGGTGATAAATTCCTTTTTTGTATCCAATAACGATAGGAGTTTTTTCCTGCTCAATGTACCACTTTCTATTGTCTCATTTGCAGGTGTATTAGCAATATCTATTGGTGCAGACTCTGTGACCAAACATGGAAGTTCTCTAGTACCTATTTTATCCTCTTTTCTGTCTGAAAATATGGAATATCAACACAATATATTTAATTTATGCAAAATGATGATTGATAAAATGATGATAGATCCTCCTTGTTTAACAGCTTGGGGATGCATTACTATAAATAAATCTTTAGTCATGAAAATATTGTCTATGATGGTTAGTTACTTAATATTACTTGTACAAATGACAAACACACAATAATCATCAATCAAATCAGGTTTAAGTTTTGTATTTCTATCTGATTGTGGCAAAATGTATGAGGAATTCTTGTTGCCCTGATACTTGGAAATCTAAATTGTAAAATTTAAAATTTCTAATTCACACTTTAATAAGATGAAATCAAAAAATTGAAAAATAGATCATAGGCTAACTATTAACCAATATAATTATTTTCTTAAATTTAATAAATTTAAGAAAATTATGTTTTTAATGTTTATAGACAGATTATTAACAAAAGAATTTTGTATGTTTATATGTTTAAAAAATAAGTTTTTAAAATAAAAAATTTATGATACAAATGTTTTTTAATGAAAATTTATAAATACAAATAAATAATTTATAATAATAACTCAAAAACACTCTTTAAAACTTATCTTAAAATAGTTCTATATATATAGAAGATTCATATAAGAAGTGTTAATTGAATATCCAATTATTAATTTTATAAAGAAACATCATGTCCATAGGATCACAACCTACTGGAAAATAAGTTATGTATAATGTGTATGTAGTCAAAAAGAAACTTTAGTGAGTAAATTACTTTTAAAATTTAACATTAAGTGTATTTAATGATCAAGCTGATCTTCAGAGTGTTTTATTTATTATAAATTAAAATTATATAAAATGGTTTTACTGTTTTTAACTTTTTCAAGTAACAATTTAAAAGTAATTTATGAAATTCAAATGCCTAAAAGTTTCAACAGAATGTTTTTAATTTTATTTTTAAATTAATATCAATCTATAATATTCTCTTAATAATTATTTTTTTTTAATAAAAATATGTAATTATTGTTTCAAAAACTGTGTAAAACAAATATGATTTGTTAAATTAATAATTTATAAAACTGCACCCTTCCTGTGAGGTTTTAAATTATTGTTATAAATGTTAAATAAAAAATTACAATGCAAAATGCAATTATTATTATTATATATGTTGTTCTTGCTTTCACTTTAATCTTGATTGTTCCTTATTGTATACAAAATTAATTAAAAATATTTAATTAAAACATAAATTTTAATGTATTTTCCAAAGTAACATTTCTTCTCATTTATGATATAAATACCTACAAAAATGTTTCCTTTCTGCAACATTTTTATTGAGCAATTTAAATCTAAACTCCAGCAAATATCTGCTTTACTACAACTTAAACTAAAAAATATATGCATACTTTTTAACTTTAACAATTTTTACTTTTATAAGATAGATACAAATAAAGAATCAAACTTGAAAAAAAATGTTGAAATTAAAGTGTTATTTATAAATATTTATACAAGTATTTTTTATGTAAGACTATACAGAATATATGATGATTGATAAATTATTTGAATCAAAATACAATTAATATTTAATGATTTATAAATCTGTCTTTTAAGACCACCCATTAATTAATTATATGTAGGCATACAGTTTTTGAGCCACTTCCTCCTTGTGTCCCTAATATAGCATACTTTTGGCAAATTTTCTCTCTTTTAATTACGTGTAAATAGTTCATAGATTCCCTGCAATTAAAGAAATAACTTTAAAAAGTTCTGCAAATATTTTGCAACTGATAGTTTAGACATGATTAGTGAATAGCGTTTTAAAAACAAATTTGTATGTCGCTAATACCACTAAAAACTAGTCCAGTAGACAATGCCCGGTGCTACTTCCTCTCCACTGCGTACAATGATATACTGTAAACGTAATTAATGGGCGACTTTTAAATCCATCCGGCAAGGGCGGACTGGCCATGTGGAAAATGTGGAAAAATTCCACATTGGCCGTATACAATTTGGGCCGTTTTTTTTCTAAATATGTACATAATGTACCGTTTGGTTAAGTTTAATTTAAAAAATTCATTTATTTCTTTTTTTTAAGTAAGGTAAATTTCAATTTTTAGGTATAATATAGGTATATGTGTAGGCAGTGCCGTAACTAGCCATTCCTGTGCCCTGTGCAAGAACTTGCATTTAGGTCCCTTAATTAATTAGATTTGGGAAAATAATAAAACAAACACGTGCATTTTGGGACCCTCTTCCAAATGGGCCCTGTGCGGGTGCACCTGTTTCACCTGCCTAGTTACGGCACTGTGTGTAGGCCTGTATTATTTTACTCGGCCCTACCCGTATCCGAAGTTAAATTAGTTCTGCCGATCTGAGTCAAACACTACATTAGCCCGATTCGGCCCAAACAGAAAGCATCCTAGGAGAAAAATAATCAAAACTACCTTCTAAATAGAGAAAATTGGTAATTTGTTTACATTGCTAGAAACTGTTCACTATGAATCTTAATGCTAAATTATAGAAATGCAAGTTATTATAAAATTATATTATTATACCTAGCCACCAAAGCAATGATTGTAATCATAACAAATTTAATGGCCACTTATATTATTTCCTTTATTTTAAGCAAGTAAAAAATGTTATTCAATAATAATTTCTCTGTATTCCAAACGATTTACAGGTAACCCCCGTATAACACGGTAGTTACGTTCCAAAAAATTGCCGTGTTATGCGAATCCGTGTTATACGAAACAAAGAACTAGTACGAAAAGGAGGGTTAGGTTCCAAAAATTAAAAAAATATGCTATTATATTTTCATAATTAAGATAAATATCTTTATTAAAATTTTCTTAAGTGATACATATTAATATAAATTAAACAATGTTTTCTTCGTCATCACTAAAAGCACTATTAACCGAGAGCGTTTTCTTTTTGGCAAGTTATCCTTATCCTCTGAGCATTTTTCTGCATTATCTTCAGATCCATGCTTTACCTTTTGCAAAATGTATGTAATTTTAGATTGCTTGCTTCTAGTTAAAAGGTCTTTATAAATTTCCTTATATGGTGCAAAGCACTTACGAAGAATAAAGCAAGTATGGAATAAGGAAAAAACATCTGGCAGCATCAGAAGCAGAAGCGTCGAGATCTGGCAACATTGAAACAAGTTTCGAGAAGGACCATGTGTATCGACAGAAGGAAAAGAACATTTACATACTTAAGTACTAATAGTTCACGAAAATTATTATTTTCGTGAACTATTATTTCTTAAGTATGTAAAAATTTATTACATTTCATGTTGTATGAGGGTTTTACCCAATTCTCGAACCGTGTCAGAGTGAATCCGTGCTATAACAGTACGGATGGTACCAATTCTTGAACCGTGTTAGAGCGAATCCGTGCTATAGAAGTGCCGTGTTATACGGGGGTTATCTGTAATTAAAAATAATCTATTTTGTAGTGTGAGGCCGGGACCTCACCCCCTCCCCAATGGGAAACTGGTTATCGAGCTAAAGCTAATAAATCGATGATTTATTTCTTAAACAGGAACGAGTGTAAGACGATTTAATTGTTGCATTCCCGGACCAAATTCACACGTCCTCGATCTACATCAGGGAAAGTGGGAGAGAGCAACCGGGGAAAGTTCGACTGTCATCTTACAGCGAGTTCAAAGCACATAAAACCAAAATTTATGGGACCATCACTAAATAATCCTGAAAACGCATTTCAAAAATTAAGCAGTATTTTAATACAGTTTAATCCAATAGCTACTCAACACAATATTATTTCAAAATTGCAACATTTTAAATCGTCATGGAATATTTTAAAGGAAAATGTCAATCAAACTTTTATAAAATTAAACTAAAATGAACATTCTACTGATGATCAAGTAGAAACTAATAAAGATGCGATTTTATCCTCTTACTGCATTGCTTGCAAAAATTGCCCTACTTGTTGTTATAATATATTATTCAGATATAACATGTTAAGTGGCGCTTATTCTATACTTGGTCAAGCATACAAATATCTGCTATCTATGTCTGTAACACAAGTGTCCGGTGAACAAAGTTTTTCTATGTTAAAATTAATTAAAAGCAGGCTAAGATACTTATAAGTATCTCGCAAGAAAATCTAGAAGCCTTCATGTTAATGTCAGTAGGGAAGGATTTTTTAAACGAAATACATTCTGATGATGTCATTAATACTATTGATCAACAAAGCAAACTTCTAAATAAAAAATTAATATCGTAGAATAATGACTTGCGCTTATTGTAGTTTTTGTCAATGTTGTATTTTGAATATATTTAAATATAAATAGAAAAAATACATTTTTTTTATTTGTGGGCTGGTAATAAATTTTCCACACAAAAATTTTATGGCCAGTCCACCCCTGCCATCCGGATGTACGAAACTACAAGTAATATCACAAAATACCTTCGAGTCCAAACAGTCGTTCAGACTCGTTAATGATATTGTAGCCCAGTGGTTCTCAGCCTTTTTTTGTTGATGTACCCCATTAGCCCTTTAGTTGTTTCTCAAGTACCCCTTATATTTTTGTATGTAAATTTTATAATTACTGCATTAGATGTATACAGCCCTTATAACTAAGTGCCATAAAAAAAACTAACTAGCTAACTATAACTAAAAGTGAATTACTTATTTTATGTAAATAATAATAGATTTAATCAGGTACATACATTTATTTATTATTTTTTGACAAGTATTTTATATAAAATCACAGAAGTTATTTCAATACATGCATAAATTACATTTCCTAAAAGTAAATAATTATAATTAACAATAAAGAAAATTTATTTTATTCTACAATAATTTCTAACAAAATTAATGGGATATTTGTTGCAACAAATCTTCAGCAATTTTTTCAAAATTTGGTTCCCACGTTGTTAAATAGAGATTATAATTGTGTACTGGCCTTGAAAGTAATGGCTGCGAATTTATAACGTGCAGAACAATACACAAATCTTTCAAATTTGGTACCAAATGTAACATCTAAATTTGCTAAATATCAAGTAATGCGCGCATGCATTGACACGCATTGCATGGTGGGGGTACGATCCAGGCCTCATTATTCCTAAAACCAGTAGTCCAGTAAAAACACGAAAAGACCCAATCTTATCGAGCAATAATTATAGAATAGAAAAAAGTTTTTTTTTTCTATTCTAAAATTAATGCTAGGTTAAACCGTAATTTTACTAGACTACAGGTTCACTCAGCACTAATGGCACAAATAGACAGGCAAATCAAGTGGATAAACAAGTTGTTTAGACTGTTAAAAAGGAAATCGGTGTTCACACTGGGATACTTTAAAGCAAGTTTTTATTTCTCGTTTCTTGTGTTAATAATTTACAGCAAATTGATTAACATACACCATTTTATAATGAAAGTTAGATGTAACCCTTCGATTTACGTTCGTACCCCTAGGGGTACATGTACAGTACCTCCGGTTGAGAACCACTGCTATAGTCTATCTATAGAGACTATAGCCTACTACTAAAAGTCTGAGATAGATTGTTTAGTTAATTGTAAAATACAGAAAAAATGGCACAAAATACTACCATATTTTAAAGAATCATATGGTCCAAATGAGAATAGAAACAAAATACAAGTTTCGTTAAAATTGGTTGACGAATTACAGAGTTAGCTTCGTACTTTCTGCCAATGATGACATTCTGTACAACGTCATGTTTCACTTTTTAAAGTTTCCGATTACTGTCTTATACTTAAATTATCTGGCGGGTTAATTTTGGTGCAATATTGAACTAAACTTGTACTGTTTTCTCTAAAAATTCTCAGTACTCGGCGACCCAACGGGTCCTAATTATATGGAGCCACCCTGAGGCCCTGCATAAACTTGTACAGATACAGATAGTGAATAGCTTGTTAGTGACCAAAAGATGACTAATGTGGTAAAAATGATTCCATATTCGGACAAAACAGTGCAGAGCAGAATTTATGATATGGCAGATGATTTAATAGAACAGGTAACAAAGAAAATTATTACAGCAAAAGAATTTTCTTTATAAATAGATAAAAGCACCGATATTGTGAGTGAAACCCAGTGTCTTCAATCTGCCCAGCTAAAGGCGCTTCTCAGGCTAACCAGAGCGTACTCCACCACATTGATTTATTCACTTTAGCTCGTCAATAGGAAACCATCTGTGGATCTTCATTTGACACACATTGCTAGTACTTATCATGTTTGAAATGACCACGACATCATTACGAACTCTACCTCCTATGCTGAAGGCATCTGTGAGACAGATGTCCTGTTTACCACCCTCCCTCATCCAGCAGTGACACATGGGATCAACTCATCCTCTACAAGTGCTGCTGACTATACAATCTTCACGAATAGTTCAGAGTGCAGAGAGCACTGGCTCGGCATTTGTCGTTTTTTCCAAGGAGAAAGAATCCATCAGAACTCTGGCATTATTCGTCCTGACTGCTCTGTATTCCAAGCAGAACTCTGCCATTTACATGCTATACAAGCAATTCCCAAAGTGTGCGCCATGGCTTCCTCACAGGGGCGCCACGAAATATTATAAAATGTTTATAAGTTTACTTAATTTAAAAAATATTGGCTAATTCGCTATTTCGCAAATTGTACTTGTTAGAATTTGACATAGGACACCTTGGATTTAGCAAGGGCACCGAGAATCAAAAAAGTTTGAGAACCACTGATTTAATGTATTTAATCGAAATATAAGTAAATAATCATGTCGTGGACAGAGTGAGAAATTAGTAAATGGTTCAAATCAGTGCGCATGCTCATAAACATAAACTCTCGTGCATGGCAACAATTTGAGCAGTGCGCACCGCGCAGCTTAGAGGAAACGTTGGTGAAGGGTCATCATGGTATCCTCGGTAATGAGTGTGTGGACCTTCTTGAATTTCTTATGGCATGTACTGTACAGATTAACAGCAGATGAAATTTGCCTAAAAGATTCACCAGAACCATGCAAAAAGTAAATTTCATAAATCTGTCTCTGACAATGTTGTTCCACGAGGCATCGTTGAAAACTATTACAGTATATTGTGTAATATTATATAATTTTAATTATATTACAATAATTACAGAATATACAGTATATTCTATAATATTGTTACATGCCTAGGGGAAAGCACAAGAGTAAAATTGGTCAAATAAACTCTAGATCTAAAAGAATAAGAACAACCGAGACCCCCGAAAAGCCGTGAAGTCTGACTTGAGCAACATCCAGTAAGAATGGCTTTGTCAACAGCTGCAGAAACAGTATCACAATGTCAAGCTTGACTTGAATCTCTTCTCAATACTTCAATCTCTACTTTTGCATGAAAAATATTCCGTTATGCTTGATGGGGAAATTTCTATTAGGTAACCAAAAAAGTTCTGTCGTTTTTTGTGAAACTACAAAGTTTAAAGAATGTTACACGCAATACACAATAGATGACACTAAAATTCCAGCAATATGTTAATCAAGATTTAATGCTGACTCACCTTATATAAAGAGAAGTGGAAAGGTTATCTCTTAATATTATAAAAATTGACTTGAAGATGAGTACTCCAAACTCTGTAATTCGTGCTTGTATGTTGTATGAGTNTATTTATAAATATTTATACAAGTATTTTTTATGTAAGACTATACAGAATATATGATGATTGATAAATTATTTGAATCAAAATACAATTAATATTTAATGATTTATAAATCTGTCTTTTAAGACCACCCATTAATTAATTATATGTAGGCATACAGTTTTTGAGCCACTTCCTCCTTGTGTCCCTAATATAGCATACTTTTGGCAAATTTTCTCTCTTTTAATTACGTGTAAATAGTTCATAGATTCCCTGCAATTAAAGAAATAACTTTAAAAAGTTCTGCAAATATTTTGCAACTGATAGTTTAGACATGATTAGTGAATAGCGTTTTAAAAACAAATTTGTATGTCGCTAATACCACTAAAAACTAGTCCAGTAGACAATGCCCGGTGCTACTTCCTCTCCACTGCGTACAATGATATACTGTAAACGTAATTAATGGGCGACTTTTAAATCCATCCGGCAAGGGCGGACTGGCCATGTGGAAAATGTGGAAAAATTCCACATTGGCCGTATACAATTTGGGCCGTTTTTTTTCTAAATATGTACATAATGTACCGTTTGGTTAAGTTTAATTTAAAAAATTCATTTATTTCTTTTTTTTAAGTAAGGTAAATTTCAATTTTTAGGTATAATATAGGTATATGTGTAGGCAGTGCCGTAACTAGCCATTCCTGTGCCCTGTGCAAGAACTTGCATTTAGGTCCCTTAATTAATTAGATTTGGGAAAATAATAAAACAAACACGTGCATTTTGGGACCCTCTTCCAAATGGGCCCTGTGCGGGTGCACCTGTTTCACCTGCCCAGNTAGAGTAGATATCATAACTGTTTTATCCAGTGCTATTTTTCTATAAAAAAGTTATTCTGGATGCAGTTATTAAGATGCTATCAGAAAAAGAATAAACATCATGATCTAACAGAGCATCTCATTATAGTAAAATTAATAAATTTATAACAATTTCCAAACAGCATCAAAATATTAGTACTAACATCTTCATGCTCCACTCTACTTTTGATGTACAAAAACCACAGGTTACAACAGCAGCAGGAAGACCAATCAGCTTGATAAACACCAAAGACAAAACTGCAACCATATACTGATTATGGTAATGATATCAAATTAACAATAGAAACAATATCAATCAAATATAAAAAATGAATTAGAGATAACTTAAAACTAAAAGTGAATAAATTTATTTAAAGCTTAATGTGCCAAAAAATTAGAGATAGCAGCACATGCAATGTTCTTAATTTCTGCCTACAGAGGAAATGCTTTGAGCAGGAACATTTGCAAGTGACATCATAGATGTGATACTTGTTGATTATGTGTGAGCTTGGTTACAGTAGCAAAAGGCCATGTAAAGAATTTATCATGGACAGATTGTTGGAGCAAAAATAACAGGTTACTTTATCAGCAAGGTGGTAAATGCTCTTGGATTTTCTTGAGCAAAAGTTTCAAAGATTTACCAGGAATACTTAAATTCTGGACAGACATCAGTAGCTGTGTATGCTAATATCCAGGAAATGTGCAAAAGATGTATGATGTTCTGTGCATAAGTGAAGGTCAAAAGGACTGTTGTTAAAAGGATCCAGAAAAACATTTAGTTTATGATGCCAAATACTTAATAGGTAATCAATATATCTGGAATATAGGGAGATGTCATACTATAGGATGGAAAAACCTGATTTTCAAGTTGCCTGATTAATTCACAAAATGTTCCCAAAAGGAGCTTCCCATAGGCACTCTTTTGCATTGCAGGTAAGCCACTTTCTCAAATTGAAAGAAAGAGGAGTGGCAAGTTAAGTTGGCCAACTCTAATATATTAGCATGGAAGTTGCCATCATTGCCTACATGATTGAGATGAAAGGTGCAGTTCCTTACAGATAGAAAACATGCTTAACCATCTGCCACTATAGCACACAACTCCAAAATGCACCATTTGAAATTCCATCAAAATGTCCAGAAAGTGGATGGCCAATAATGATATAGTCCTGTGTAGAACAGATAAATCCAAGGACCTAGTCCTCTTGTGTAGCTCAACATACAAAAAAGAAATACTTGATTACGTTACTGAAATGGAATGCATAATCATACCTTCTATGTCTGGAAGCTACACAACAGTCATCAGTTCAACCAAGACACTTCTAAACTGAGGCCTTCTGTTCTGAGAATTTTTGCCTTTGCCAAAGTGCATAAACCTGGATATCAACTATGTCCTGTTGTGGACAAGTTGGAGTCTCCAATGATACCAATTGAAAAAATCCTTAATCAATACATCACAAATAAATTGAATAACTACCACCAGGGCATTAAGAACTCCAAACAACTTTTAGAATGTTACAAAACCTTCAGATTGGGGTCTACACATATATCACTGTATGTTTGAATCAATGTATTCATCAATCAAAATAGAACCTTGCTTTTGTGCACTTTCTATTCTGGTATACATTTCTGAATAAGTTCTTTAACTGAATAAACTAATTTTGAAACACAATTTTTCCGAGCTATTTATTTCAATACTAAGCACAAAGTGTCATTCATGACATAAATATAAAATTATAATATATTATATTATAATAAGAAAGGAACCTTGATAATGTAAAATTATCAAGGTTCCTTTCTTAGATTAAAAAATTGTCCATTCTGAATATTAAACTATATTGATATGTTATATAATATACAAAACTAGAAAACTTATTATACAATTAAAGTATCAATGTTAAAAATATTATAAACAAATACTATAATGATGTTGATTAATTTGTCATGCTTATAAGAAAATAGAAAATAATTAAATGAGAAAGATTAAATATACATATAATTAATTTTTCAAAAGATTTATCATATATTTTTAACCTAAAACAGTAAATTAATACCCTGTATCTGTTAATTATTTCTTTTTAATAATCAAATATTTAATAATATGCAAATATAACTTTTCAAATGCTAATATTTAAAACAAAAACATTACCTTTATTACCTTAAAACAAAATTAATTTACCTTTATTAAGACGTTTCTTTTCTTCTGCTCTTTTGGCATCCAAAATCACTTTTTTCTTAGCTTCTATTTCTCTCAATTTTGCTTCTTTTTTGGAAAGTGAGCCTAAAATTTTAAAATTTTATAAATAAAAATTTTCTAGCTATTTCAAGTTTAAAATATAAAATTTTAAAAACCAGCAAAGAGTTGCTCAATTTTCATGCCTACATTTAAATTTTTGGTGGCATCATCTGTTATCATATTTTATTAAAATCTTTATATTTTTAACTATTGTAAATGGCAAAAATCTTAATTTTTAGGATAGGGATGAGTTTTATAAAAAAATTGTAAATGCTAATAACGATTAAAATTGTCATTAAATCTGACCCTACTGGAGATATACATGACCCCATCCCCTCGATTTTTAACCACTAAAATTTAATAGCATCAATCCATCTAATAAACTATCCTCCCTGCAAAATTTCAGAAATTTTCAACAAAAAGCACAGGAATTATTAAGCTTCAAAGAAGGTGAACAAAATTGTGCCCCACACACATACAGAAATTACACTCAAATTTTTTTGCATTTCTCAACATTTCAAGATATCCTAAGTTCAAAAATGTAAAAATATTGGGGGAGTCATTGTTTTGACCATTTGCCATACTTTTCCTTTTTTATATATAACAGCCAGGAAAGTAAAATTGATTTGGATTAAATAAAGTTTGGATTATCAAGAGTGCACACCATCTGCATAATCACATAATAGTGTGAGAATGCAGAGGGGGACAATTAATTAATCCCTTAATTAATTAATTAAAGTAATATTACAATCCAATTCTAGGGTTCTAGGTCCTACACTCCAAAGGTCAAAACTGACCAGTGGAAAAAAACCCACAAACATCCTATTTCCCAATTTCTTAATAGATAAGACCGATCGAATATCTCTCCAATTTAACAACTATTACTAAGGTTGTAATACACACACTGACCTTAGTCACTACTGGCAATTAATTTAATATGTTTGACAGATGTTATCAGTTTTATGAGGTAAAAGGAGTAAGAGCCTGATAAAGAGAGGTAATAAATTTGTCGAAACATTCAATTTCTGACAATTAACATAAACAGCACCCGGAAACAAATCAAACTTAGATGGAATTGCATCAGAACTTTCCCTGATAGTTTCCCCTCCAGGACGTGTATAAAAAGGGGTCACACCCACACTTCGGGGTGATCATCAGAAGAAAGTCTCCCAGCTGGAACTATATTCGAACCTTGCTCCATGCACCTCGCGAGACCTGATCACCGCATCTTCCCCAACAAACTCCACAGTCCACGATTGTCATGACAATGTCATATAAAGAATATGAGGATTTATCAGAGGTATTTTGATTTAAATATAAACTCTCTCTCATCTCTCTATAGATTAAGTAGAGTATAACATGTATTGGCTGTTATCCATAAGTTTGTTGCAAATAGATCTTTGTAACATACAATGCAATATTGCCATATTTAGTTATAACTTTGTATCCTAGTTTTAAGTTTGATAATTAAATTTGTTGTTTTGTTAAAATCTGTCCATTAATCGGAGCATGGACACCTACTGACTTATTCACCTCCCTCCCACTCAAATGTTTAACGAGCCCTCGTACTCGAAATAGTGTTAAAAATTGTGAGTTAGGACGCCCATAATTATCCTAACTGGTGCCAGTTCCTGAACAGAAACAGCTATCAAACAATTTGCGTGTTCCGTTAAATCATAGGCCATCCCCTGATGAGAAGCCGGTAAGAAGGGTCAAGTTCACGGCTCTAAACCCCTCAGTTCTCACAATAATAAATACTATGCATTATGTTTGTGAGGGAAAACTGACTTTATTTCATTCCTTATCACTTATTTGATTAGTTAAGCTATTTTGGAAATTTTGTTTAGAGTAACTATTTCACACTCAACTAGGAAACCAAAATGAAAAGCCCGTTTCTCTGGAAAATACCATTAATCATATGAATAAACATCCAGGATAGTCAGATAAATTGAAAAAAATCACAAATACTATTGAATCATTTTATTTATTGATAATTAAACTTTAAATAATTTATTACATGTAGTTTACTGCCAGCAAGGAAAAGAAGAAACAAAATCATGCATATATGCAGGGGTCACCAAACTATGGCCTGTGGGTCGGATCCAGCCGAGGTCAGCTCATCTGGCCCTCCGCCACAATGTGCCACAAATAAGCTAAAATATAATTATTTATATGGAAATATCATAGACTGTAGATAAACATATTTTAACTTTTTCTACATAGTAAGTGTAAGTAAAAATGCCAGAAGTGGTCCAATCTGATTTTTGCATCTGACAGTAATATAACTTTTAGAAAAATCAGTAAAATAAAAAATTCTGCAACTTTTTATGACAGAGAATATCATTTTGTGTAAGTACCTGCAATGAAGTTTCTAAGAAAAGCAATTACAAGCTTGCTGCAGTGATCATATGTTTGTGTATTGGTAAGTAAATATGTTGGTTGTCTTTACTTTTTGTGTATTCAGTGTACTGTATTGAACAAAATGGTTGTGCGCGCAGTGCTCGTCATTCTCTCAGTTATGTGGCCCACTGTGAAAAAAGTTTGGTGACCCCTGCTCTATAAGATAAAGTTTAGTTCATGGAAAGCTCATGAAATAACTAAACTTTACACATGTTTACTTTATATGTTTACATCATATACATATGTAATTCATAGCTGCATTCATAAAATTTCATATTTTTCATTTTAAAAGTATAAAGAATATAACAAAATCTTACTAAGCATAATGTTTGTAATATTACAATTTCTAACTTAAATATGCTTAATAAAATTACTTTCTCCAATTTGTTTAGTGCAAAAACAGTTTTATTATAGATTGCATCATTATAAACTAAAAACTTTGACTCACTATCTATGCTTAATACTTAAATATAAATCACTGAAATAAACACAATTTGGCACTATATTTAAATGAAAATTCAAAATATTTGCTTATTTAGAAAACCATTTCATTAATCTAGAAATGTTTTCAGTCTTTATTAGGCCATCATCAGCTACTGAAAAACAGAATAAATTTTCTTTTTCTGTTCTTTGATATTTATTTCATTCATTATTACTTATTTTGATTAGTTACACCTATTTTGGGAATTTTGTTTAGAATGACTATTTCACAATCAACTAGGAAGCCAAAATGAAAAGCCTGTTTCTCTGGAAAATACTATCAAAATTCTTTGATATAATGTAATATGTTCTTCAGAAGCTGATGATAGTCTAATAAAGGCTAAAAACCTTTTGAGGTTGATGAATGGTTTTGGTTTCCTTAAAGTAGATATTTCAACTTCCTATATAAATCATTAAATCTTTGGAAATTGCCTCTTATCTTAAATTTTCATTTTGAAATTAAATCCCAATAATGTTTGCAATATTACAAGTAGTTTATTACTGTCAAAAGGCAAGTTTTATTGAATGATGACATGTAAGCAAAAACCAATTAAACCTATAAAACAACTTTCCAAGCAGAAAATGAAATGTGAATGGTCAGTAATGAACAGAGCATAATATAATTTTTTAGTTTATAATTCTTTGAAATAATTTACATTAACAGTCACTATTTTTGAATTGCAGTGATTTTTTAGAGAACTAAAAAATTTAAACATTACAAATCATCGTGTTATAACCAGTATGTTTATTTTGTTATTCTAAATCTACAACTCTTAACTAATAAATATTTGGATGTATGATACTTATCATTATTTACAGTTAAATAAAAATAACTATATTGAAATTATGAAAAGGTTTTGTAGAAATAAAACTTACTTTGTCTACTTATTCCCCACATAATACCAAGGACCAGAGCACCCCATCTGCAACCCTGTAAAAACATTTTAATAAATAAGACATAATATTATAATTATAAAATTATCATTTTCTTTATTGAATAATTATTCTTCAAATCTTATAATATTTATATCATATATAACAAAGATAAATTTTTTAACAAAAAATAATTTTTACATTACTGTAAAAACTGCAAAAGCTAGAACATGAATAAGATGAATAAGAAACTTTCCAGAGGTGGAAAGTTCAAATATTCTAACCCTAAAATGATTACATTAACCTAACAAATGTTTTTTAAAAGTTGGAACCTATGAGATGCAGTTGGAATGAAAGAAATCATGCTAGTGCAACCCAAATATGATAAAGTATAGACACAAAAGCCAGAAACTTGTGTGTTCTGTATTTCGGCCTTACAGTAAAATTATCAAGAAAATAAGTATATTACTGCAATATAATAAAATCAAAAATAAGCTTAAAGGTTGCTGAAAATTATAACAGGTGAGTATAAAAAACAAAGAGGAAAGATTTACTAAGAATAAATAAAATACAATTAACTGAATTTAGTTTTGTGAGATTGACAAAGAAAAAAAAAATCACACTTGGGTACTAATCACACCCAGGCTCTGTGATGTATGCATCCTGTTCCTTTATTACTGAAAGTTTATTTCCTACTATGTGATCATTGTTCTAGAAATCTGAGTGAGAGGTTAGATTTATCTTCTAAAATTAAGATTGGTTTATACTATTATAATTCTGTTCTTCTGTCTGCATTAAGGATTATTCTGATTGAAGCCTAGTGATGTTAGACTGTTTTATCAAAAATTGAACTTTGCTCAGTTATTTAAATGTAAAATCTTTACAATATATACAGATGTTTCTAACAAAGATAAATGTAAATCATAAAAAAAACTTATTTTTTCACCAAATCCCATAAAGACATAAGAAAACATTTTCAGGGTATACTTTAATATTTGGATGGAATTTGGGGATGACTTTGGCTTCTAGGAGGCATACTACAATTTCAGCTGTCCCCTGATAGTCTTTTTTGAAGAAACATCTTCCCATTCAGTTGTAAGCATGATGTATAACATAGTATATGTGATAGTTCTAGTTTCTGTCTTTGGTCCACATTGTTTGCCATCTTAGTCGTGAGCCAATCTCGCAGACCACAAAAACAGTGCTCTAGTTTAACTGATGGGTATAGTGTCTTAAAGTCTAAAATGGTGATCTAGAATTCTTCAAATGGTTCACAGTTCTGGACGGCTGTAATTACTTGTGTGGAATTGGAAATCGCAAACTGATAGTCTTCTAGGTGTTTAACCAGGAGCATATGGATCTTCTGTTCTATTTTTCTGGTGGGTGTGTTGGTTTTGTCTAAGATAGGTCTTAATTCCATCCCTTGTTTATGTGTTTTGGCATAGGCAAATAATCTGGGAACTGCTAGTGAGGCTATTATTGCATTGCCTAGTCTTAACTTCCTTGCCAGTTGAGTGTGTGTAAACCTATGGACTCTTGACTGGAGCTTGTCGATGAAGTCTTTTCCTATCTCCTCACATTCCATGTCTTGTATATATTTCTGTAAGATGGTGGTATAGGAGTTCTTCTTCGTCAATACTATAGCCTTATTTTTATCTGCCTTTAAAAGGGTAATGTTATTTTCTGGTAGCCATTTCCTGCTCTTATCTAAAGCTCTCCAATATTCTGTTTCTCTGTGGCATTTTTTAAGGTGCCTTAAAAAATGGTAACCATCAGTTAAACTAGATCCTTGTTTTTGTGGTCTGCGAGATTGGCTCATGACTAAGATGGCAAACAATGCAGACCAAAGACAGATACTAGAACTATGACATATACTATGTTATACATCATGCTTACAACTGAATGGGAAGATGTTTCTTCAAAAAAGACTATCAGGGGACAGCTGAAATTGTAGTATGCCTCCTAGAAGCCAAAGTCATCCCCAAATTCCTTCCAAATATTAAGTACATAAGCGATACATTGATGACATATGCATCATATGGAAGACGAAGCCAATCATCAAAGAATTTATAAGATGCATGAATCGCAACCTATATGGTCTTACAATTGAATTGGAATAAATAAGCAATAAGGAAGCTCATTTTTTGGACTGTAGTATAACATTCAATGGTAGCCAATATGACACAAAGATATACCGAAAACCAAGTGCTATCCCGATATACATCCTGGCTGACTTGGATGACCCATACAACTACAAAATGGCAGCTTTTAGAGTGCTTATCAAAAGAGCCTAACACATTGTAGCAAAGAACAAGACCAATGGAGGGAAATAAGGAAAATAGCAAAATTGCAGAAAGTCACGGCTACAATAAAGGCCTAATATATAGAATGGCTGATACCAACGAAACCAGCTCGAAGACCAAGTGAATGCGATCCCAGGAAGGGATCCCCAACAAGATACATCTCCCTACCATATAGCTATAACATATGAGCACCCTATGCAGTCTCTATATCAAGAAATTGGAGCTTACACTAATGCAAAAATAGCCTACAGACATAATAGAGCTGTATTTTAATTTAAATCTAAAAAGACTGGAAAACCAAGAAAACATAATATTAGAACAATTATTCTGAACACATTCGCCATGTTGAGAAGCGAGAAAGATCAGGCTGAAATCGAAAGAACACCGGGAGTATATAAAATCCTGTTAAAGGATAAAAGATTCGCGAGGGACCTTGTACATGTCAGATCTACAAAAAGGTCACTAAGACAATGCCTCTGTGAGCACAAAACAGACATCGAAAAAAAGAAAAACAATACTGCCTTAGTGATATATTCCAACAAAAATGGCATTATCCCTAACCTACAACAAATGACAATGATTCAACAAATCCAACATATAAACCAACTATGAAATCTGGAGGCGCTAGAAATTTTTAAACCGGACTGCAAAGGCCTGTCAATCAATTTAAAGAAGAAAAACAACTATCAAGAGCATGGCAGGCTATTTATGACGCAACGCTATAACAACTGGCGCAGGTGCACATCATTTGGAGATTCGAATTTTGAAATTTTAAAAAATAAATTCTGAAGATAGAAGCATTAGAGACTTGAACGGTTAAAATTCGGAATCGCACCAGAAAAACTTGTAAAACATCTGAGGAAGACCCTAGAAGTGGATCGAAAACATTTGTGTTACATTTTTTAGTAGTACATTAACTGCAAAGCTATACAAGATTAGTACGACATATCTGTAATATTTTAATGCTTGATTTGAATGCTTGATTCTTAATTAGATACAGATTACCAAACAATATGCAAACAAGTGACAACGATATGTGCTAATTCCTTGATTTATATGTACTTTTTAGTTTTATATGATCAAAAATATATTTTTCACATTTATTAAAAATTATTATGTATCAGTTGCAAAAAATTCTTATTTGATTATACTTTTTACCTTATTCTGATCTTGCTTTGGTTTAATATGCACTCAAATTTACTTTTCTGCACTCTGTGCAAAAAAAAAAAACTTGATTCCAGAACCTGAAGTGATTTGAATAATTTAATAAATAATAATAAATATAATAAATAATAAATAAGTAATAAGAAACCAAATGATTGTCAGATTTAAATTGGGCTACTTTACCACTACTATTAATAATTAAATACTGAGTACAGTAGAGCGTCTAATTATAACAACACACCTAAATTTTTGCCGAGCATAAAATTATTTTATTTCAAACATTTTCAACCTATTTATTATAGGCCATCCTCAGGCTTACAATTATCATTCCAAAATAGAACATAACGTTTTTTGAATGATAAAGACAGAGTAAAAATGCAAGAGAAAGCTGGAGCTGATTTTCAAATGGTATTTAATGTGAAAGCTGGAGTGTTTATACTATAAACACTCCAGCTTTCACATTAAATACCATTTGAAAATCAACAATTAAGAGTAGCAAAGGATTACGTGGGTGTAACCAGAAGAAATTTAGCAATATGTCTGCGAGAACACAGATACAATGTTAATAAAGGGCACAACACCACCATTTTAGCAATAATGGTGCAGACGGAAGGAGCAAATGTAAAATGGGATGAGGCAAAAATCATTAAAACAGTCCAATCTCCAGCCGTTGCATTAGAAATGGAAAAGATGGAAATATATAAAAGTAAAATAAATAACTGTTGCTTAAATGCCAAGAATGCTAATGCATTTCCAACAGCATGGAAGTACAGTACATAATATTGATAGAAAAAAGCATGGGGATTAAAAACCCTTTAAAACTTGTAATAGTTATACTTAGCCTTGTATACGGTATTTATTTATTTATGCCGTTTTATTTTATTTTTCCTATTATTTATTTATTGTATTTATTTATTTTTTCATATACACATATTCTAAATCTTTAAATTTAAAAATGAAACTTATTCAAAAAATGTTACGTTTTATTTTGGAACAACAATTGTAAGCCTGAGGATGTCCTATAATAAATAGGTTGAAAACGTTTGAAATAAAATAATTTTATGCTTGGCAAAAATTCAGGTGTGTTGTTATAATTAATTGCAATTACTGAGAGAGAGGTGGACAGTAGAGCATTGTTTATCCGAAACGTCGGTTAACCGAAAGCGTTCCAGTCGGCAAATTTAAATTTCTGCTAGTGCTGTGGCGCTGCAATATTGTCTTGGGCTACTCCAATATTATTTTTGTCGGTGTGCGTATTTTAGCTGGCTTCACTGGCACGACCATATTGTATCGTTAAAAATTATTTCTTTATTCTGCACAAACAAAATAAACATATTGAAAGATATAAAAACAAAAAAATTATATTTCAGAAGTTAATCTAGTATCAAAAACATTCTGACTCATACTCATCAAGAGGGTACTTAAAAATGTGCCAGTATTTGAACGAGGTTTTTCCCACCATCATGAGCTATATTCTAGGACCTTGCATCACAACTGGTGTGTTTTACTTCAGCTTGTCGGAGAATGTAGCCAAGTGGCTGACATATCCAGATAAACCCAAGAAAAAGAAAGTTTTGCTTGTTTTGTGTGA